CAACCATGTATAACACACACACACACACACATGGTTGGGGGTGCGTGACCCCATACCTGTAAAGCTACCTACCCAAGCCGAAGTCCCAACGGCAATACTTCAACGCCTAAAAGCCACGGAGGAAAGGAAAACACCGCACATCAGCCCAGACTAGCGTCCAAAGGGGGTAATTGAGTTTCGGTGAGCCCACATACGTTCCAACATCCTCGCCAGACGTGCTGGTTCCCATTTCATGGCCTCCAACATGCTCTGTTGATGATCGAATCCCTCTTCAGCACGAATATCATTACAGGCTGGGCATTCCAATAACACGTGTTTTTCATCCTCGATTCGGCTATTAGTACCACAACAGCGGCAAAACCGCTGCGCCCCGGGGACATGGTACTTGCCCCTTTGTGCTCTGTTTGCCTCCAGATCCCAGCAACATAAACGAAACTGCATTAGCTTACGATGTGCTAAACGAGAAATGAAAACCTTAGCATGTGTTGGCCACATGACGGCTGCGGCTTCCGAAAAGGGCAGCCCCATCCAGTGCTTATACTTCGCCATTTGCACTCCCGGCTGCTTCCCATCTGATGGGTACTCCTCTGGCAAGACAGTCAGACGCGTATGGTCCCAGCCGCTCATCAAACGCTCTCTTAGTGCCGTTATCATCGCTCCTTCGGGTAGAGGCCTACTCAACAACCAGTCAACACGCTACTTTACCCCCATGACTTCTTGCGGTATTCCGCTCCAAATATTGCACTCCAAGAAGGAAAACAGTCGTAACATTGAGGTTCCCCAACCCTCCCATTCCGGGTTGGTCAGGGCATCGGTTATCTCCTGCCGTAAAACGGCATGAGCAATGGACCCCACTTGCTTTTGAAGGCGGTTCCAGGAACGGAGGATCTGTTTCACCATGTAATACTGTAAGGGGAGTTCAGCCAGCTCCGCATACAACAGCCTGTGGAATGGCCGTACCGTCCCAACTACCTACCTCAGGAATAAAATCTGCAGCTGGACTGCACTATCCTTCAAACAGGCTTCGAACATGCCCTTCGCAAGGTTGGCTTTATCCCGCCGCCTTCCTGTCCACGACCTCTGCCAGCGCAAAAGGGCATCCCAAAGGCTTCGCAAAACAAGTCCACAAGATGTAGCAACTCAGACATTCGCTCTAGACTAACATCGTCTGCATACAACAGTATGGAGACGCGCTTGCTGTCCACAAGGGGTGTGTCACGCTTACGCACTCCAGATTCTACAAGGTCATGAGTATCAATCAGATCAGCTAGTGTCTCAATGAAGATGTATGATGTATGATGTGTGGGACAGGGGGGCATATCGTCACCCTGCGGCCGCTACCCCGCGAAACCCTGCCTTCCCTGGTATTTCGGGGCACCCTCATCTAGTCACCCTAGCCAACTTCTCAGTGGATCGCTCAGGTTCCGCACCCACCACCAGCATCCAACTGAATCTGCCGGATCGACAGCGGCCCAACTCCATTCCCGGTCACGTCTTAAGTCAGCTTTATCCGACCCTGACAGGTCTCGATTCCGGGATCTGCCGGGGGCATTGATGCGTGCTCTACCAGTAGTGCTTAACGTATGTATAATGTATGTGCAGCCGTACATCTGTGCATTGATATGTCAGTGCATAACTACAGGGTAGAAGCTTGACTGTATCTTCGATTTGGGTTTGGGCTTTTCTCGCGCAGCCTATGTCAAGAACACTTTGTATTGGTGTTCCCCGGAGGAGACAACGATGCCATCCGTGCTTTGCAACGCGTAACGTGATTTATTGAATTAATATGTAGAAGCATGGCCAATGCCCGTATTAGAAGTTCTAACATTAATAGCCGCCCGATAGCGGAGAATATGTCGTAAAGAATCAAGTGAAGCTGCCTGCCGCAAGCGAGAGTGACATACACATGGTGCACATGCCGAGTAGCGGCCGCCGGTGCATATCCCCAAATTGCCTTGTGTTCGTGCAACAATTTTCCTTCAAAGTAAAAATAAAAATAAGGAAACCACGTACCATAGGGGATTCTGTTCCTTTTTCTGTGCCTTTTGCACCTGCACCCACACCCGCACCCGCACCCGCACCTGGGGAGACTGAGGCAAACTGGTTTATATTACTGGTCAGACCCCCGACAATAATCGGGAGAAATAAGTTTATGAAACGCTGCTAAGGTGTGGAGAGGAGGTCTAGTTGATGGACTAAGTTTCGCATGCTTGAGTTGGTGGTTGTTGATGTTGTTACAGGGTGGTTAAGCTTCACCAGTGGCCTCCTTCCCGAGGCAATTCCCTGCTCTCCCCTGCTAGAGGAGCACCCTAAGCCATTCACCCCATCCGAATTCAGAGTGTACTCTTTGAGTTTGGCAACTCACCACCAGCATCCAACCAAATCTAGCGGATCAACGGCGCCTCAACTAAGTTCCTGGTCAGCTCGCGAGTTGATTTTATCACGTCCACAAGATGGGGGGCCACCTCCCATTTCACCACCTCTCAAACACCCAAGAGGTCGGCAGGCGAATTTGAACCCGGGTCGACCGGGAGCAGAAGTCAGGCCTTAACCTCTGCCAGCCGCCTGCATGGTTGTTGGCTGACCTGTTTTCTACGGATGTCGGGTGACTGGATGAGGAGGGGTCTAGTTAGCAGGACCATAAAACCGCCGTCGGTTGTACGGTGGAATCAAATTTCAATATATATAGTCCATGGCCTCCGGGTTTTAACGGACCCCCCGTGCGGCACTTGTGCGGCACTTGTAACTTGTACCTTGTATTACATATGTTGCTCGCGCACCCACACCCACACCCACACCCACACCCACACCCACACCCACACCCACACCCACACCCACACCCACACCCACACCCACACCCACACCCACACCCACACCCACACCCACACCCACACCCACACCCACACCCACACCCGCACCCACACCCGCACCCGCACCCGCACCCGCACCCGCACCCGCACCCGCACCCGCACCCACACCAACAAATGACCCTTCCCTCCCCACGCCCTATATGTGGGCTGTCTGGGTTTTGGCAGCCCCGGAAGGTTATCTGTTTGACCATTCCATGGACCCTGACACCCATCACCTGCTCATGTTCTCATCCACAGCCCGGCGGCGGCTACAACGACGGCGCATGATGGCTTTTGCGCCGGCAGCTGGCCTCATGCCGGCGGCAGCTGGGCGCCTGCCGGCGGCAGCTGGCCACATGCCGGCGGCAGCTGGGCGCATGCCAGCGGCAGCTGGCCACATGCCGGCGGCAGCTGGCCTCATGCCAGCGGCAGCTGGCCACATGCCGGCGGCAGCTGGCCACATGCCGCCGGCAGCTGGCTACATGCCGGCGGCAGCTGGCCACATGCCAGCGGCAGCTGGCCACATGCCGGCGGCAGCTGGCCTCATGCCGGCGGCAGCTGGCCACATGCCGGCGGCAGCTGGCCTCATGCCGGCGGCAGCTGGCTTCATGCCGGCGGCAGCTGGCCTCATGCCGGCGGCAGCTGGCCACATGCCGGCGGCAGCTGGCCACATGCCGGCGGCAGCTGGGCGCCTGCCGGCGGCAGCTGGGCGCATGCCGGCGGCAGCTGGCCACATGCCGGCGGCAGCTGGCCTCATGCCGACGGCAGCTGGCCACATGCCGGCGGCAGCTGGCCACATGCCGGCGGCAGCTGGCCACATGCCGGCGGCAGCTGGCCACATGCCGGCGGCAGCTGGCCTCATGCCGGCGGCAGCTGGCCTCATGCCGGCGGCAGCTGGCCTCATGCCGGCGGCAGCTGGCCACATGCCGACGGCAGCTGGCCACATGCCGGCGGCAGCTGGCCACATGCCGGCGGCAGCTGGCCGCATGCCGGCGGCAGCTGGCCACATGCCGGCGGCAGCTGGCCTCATGCCAGCGGCAGCTGGCCACATGCC